GATCCTCAGATTATTTGCTCAGCATACAGGTTGAATAAGTATGGTGAAAGAATACAACCCTGTCACACACCTTTCTTAATTTTAAACCATTCTGTGTTCCCATGTTCTGTTCTAACAACTGCCTCTTGGTCCATGTACAGATTGTTCATGAGCACAATTAAGTGTTCAGGAATACTCATATTTCACAATGTTGTCCATAGTTTGTCATGATCCATGCAATGGAAAGACTTTTCATAGTCAATAAAGCACAGGTAAACAGCTTTCTGATGTTCTTTGCTTTCAGCCAAGATCCATCGGACATCAGCAATGATACCCCTCATTCCATGTCTTCTTCTAAATCCGGCTTGAACCTCTGAAAGTTCTCTGTCACTGTATGCTTGCAGCTTTTCTGTATTACCTTTAGTAAAACTTTACTAACATAGGATATCAAAGAGATTGCATGATGATTTCCACATTTTATTGGGTCACCTCTCTTTGGAATGGGCACAAATACCGATCTCTTCCAATCAATTGGCCAGATAGTTTTCTTCCAAATTTTTTGGCAAAGATGCATGAGTGCCTCCTGTGCCGCCTCACTTTCTTGAAAGATTTCTATTTTTATTCCATCAATTCCTGATGCCTTGTTCTTTGCCAGTTCCTTCAATGCATCTTGAACTTCCTCTTTCAGTATCATTGGCTCTTGATCATATGCTACCTCTTAAAATGGTTGAACATCAATCAATTCCTTTTGTTATAGTGACTCTGTGTATTCCTTCCATCTTCTTTTGATGCTTTCTGCATCCTTCAACAATTTCCCCAGAGGATCCTTCATTAATGAAAGCCGAGGCTTGAATTTTTTCTTCAGTTCTCCCAGCTTGAGAAATGCTGAGCATGTTCTTCCCTTTTGGTTTTCTAGGCATTAGTGCGCTGAAATAGACAGATATTGGCCATTTTCAATGAAGTGGTAGACTACGTCTGGAACAACAAAGTAAAGAGGAACCGTGTCTCATTCACTCTCAAAAAGAATATTTCAAGATTGATGCTGAAGTAACATGCTGTAAGTGATAGCATAATATCTACACACAAACAAGGAAGACAAGTTATTAACACTATTATTTAAATTTACACACCAACTACTAATACTAAAGAAACAAGATTTTTAGTAACTTCTGAAATTAATCAAACATGCAGTCAAGATGCCTTGATAATTACTGGTGACTGGAATATAGTAGTTGAAAACAAAGAAAGATAAGTCATTAGAAAGTATGGCCTTGATGATAGAAATGGCAATGGAGAACAATTTTGCAAGACAAAACACCTATTCAGTGGAAAGACTTTTCAACATAAATGGTGACTATGCATGTCAACCTCACCAGATAGTGTACCCAAGAATAAAATCAATTACATCTGTGGAAAGAGACAATGTTGTTGTTGTTAAGTACCATTCAGTCACATCTTACTGATAGTGACACTATGCGAAACAGAACCAAACATTGCCTGGTCCTGCACCATCCTCACAAGTGTTGTTGCTCCTGAGCCCGATGCTGCTGCCACTGTGCCATTTCATTTCATTGGGGTCTTCCTCTTTTTTGCTGACTCTCGATTTTACTAAAACATAATGACCTTCTCTAGGGACTGGCCCCTTCTGGTAACATGTCCAAAGTATAAGACATGAAGTCTTGCCATCATTGCTTCTAAGGAGCATTTTGGCCATATTCCTTCCAGCACAGATTTGTTTGTTGTTCTGGAAGTCTGTGATACTTTTAACATTCTTCTTCAATACCATAGCTCAAATACATCAATTCTTCTGTGGTCTTCCTTATTCATTGTCCAACTTTCACATGCATATGAGGTTATTGTAAATACCATGGCTAGGGTTGGGTGTACCTTAGTCCTCAAACTGATCTCTTTGCTCTTGAACAGTTTAAAGAGTTCTTGTGCAGCAAATTTGCCTAACACAACACATCATTTGATTTCTTGACTGCTTCCATGAATATTAATTGTGGAACAAAGCAAAATAAAGTATTTGACAACTTTGATGTTTTCTCCAACTTTGATCTTTTCTCCATTTATCATGATCATCAGTAATAAGGATTTTTGTTTTCTTTACCTTAAGGAACAATCCATACTGAAAACTCTGGTCTTTGTTTTTCATCACTAAGTATATTAGTCCTGTTCACGTTCAGCAACCAAGGTTGTATCATTTATACATCACAGGTTGTTAATGAGTCTTCCTCCAATTTTGATGCCACATTCTTTTCATATTACCCAGCTTCTCAGGTTATTTGTTCAGCATAAAGTTTGAATAAGTATCGTGAAAGAATACAACCCTGGCACACACCTTTCCAGATTTTAAACTATTCAGTATCCCCTTATTCTGTTCAAATGGCAGTATCTTGGTCTAGGTTCATCATGAGCACGATTAAGCATTATGCAATACCCATTCTTCATAATGTTTTCCATAACACACAGCCAAAAGCCTTTGAATAGTCATTAAAGCATGAGTAAACATCTTTCTGGTATTTTCTGCTTTCAGGTAAGACCCATCTGATGTCAGCAATAATGTCCCTCATTCCACATCCTCTTCTGAATCCAGATTGAATACCTGACTGTTTCTTCTTAATGTACTGTTGAAGCTGCTTTTTCACTATCTTCAGCAAAGTTTTATTTCCTTGTGATATTAATAATATTTTTCAATGATTTCCACACTCCATTGGGTCATCTCTCTTTGGAATGGTCACAATACGAATCTCTTCCAGTTGGTTGGCCAGATAGCTGTCTTTCAAATTTCTTGTCATAGATTAGTGAGTGCCTCCAGTGCTTCATCAGTATGTTGAAAGATTTCACTTGGTATTCTGTCTATTCTTGGAACCTTGTTTTTCACAAATGACTTCAATGCAATTTGGCCTTCTTCCTTCAGTACCATTGGTTATTGATCAAATGCCTCTCAAAATGCCTGAAAATCAATCATTTCTTTTTGGTACAGTGATTCTGTGTATTCCTTCCATCTTCTTTTGATTATTTCTGCATCATTCAATATTTTGCCTATAGAATTCTTCAAAATTGAAAGTCAAGGTTTGAATATTTTATTCAGCTCTTTCAGCTTGAGAAATGCTGAGCATGTTCTTCCCTTTTGGCTTTCTAACTCCAGGTTTTTGCACATTTCGTTATATTTGACTTTATCTTCTCGAGCTGACCTTTGAAGTTTTCTGTTCAGCTCCTGTACTTCCTCACTTCTTCCATTTGCTTTAGCATCTCTATGTGGAAGAGCAAGTTTCAGAGTCTCTTCTGACATCCACTTTGTCTTTTCCTTCTTTCTTGTCTTCTGAATGACCTTTTGCTTTCTTCCTTTATGATGTTCTTGATGTTATCCCACAACACTTCTAGTCTTTGGTCTTTGGTGTCTAACGCATCAAATCTGTTCTTCAGATGATCTCTAAATTCAAGTGAGATATATTCAAGGACATATTTTGGCTCTCATGGACTTGTTTTAATTTTCTTCAGCTTCAGCCTGAACTTTCATATGAGCAATTGATGGTCAGTTACACAGTCTGACCCTGGCTTTTGTTTGGCTGATGAAATGGAGATTTTCCACACTTTCATTCCAGAGATGTAGTCAATTTGATTCCTGTATATTCCATCTGGTGACGTCCATGTGCCTTTTATGTTATTGAAAAAGGTATTTGCAATGAATAAGTCATTGGTATTGCAAAATTCTGTCATGCAATCTTTAGCATCATTTCTATCACCAAAGTCATATTTTCCAATTACTGATCGTTCCTGTTTGTTTCCAACCTTCACATTCCAATCACCAGTAACTATCAATGCATATTAATTTCATGTCTGATCAATTTCAGACTGAAGAAATTATATAATTCTTCAATTTCATCATCACTGACATTAGTGTTGTGCACAATTTTGAGTAATAATAGTGGTATTAACTAGTCTTCTTTATGTTGTTGTTAAGTGCCTTCAAGTCAGTTCTGACTCATAATGACCCTGTGTAGGGTTTCTAAAGAGCAACTGGTGAGCTTGAACTACCTTGTACTCCAGCACATTAACCCACATCGCCACACCAGCACTCCAGGTGTTCCTTATAGGCATCTGGATATTATCATATCACAGACAGCATTGTATTTCTAGATAGAGCTTGAAATGTTCCTTTTGATTGATGAATGTGACACATTCCTCTTGAATTTGTCATTCCTGGCATAGTAGCCCATGATTGACAGATTTTAAATGACCAATACCAGTCCAATTCAGCTCACTAATCCCTCGAATCTCAATCTTAAGCTTTTTGTTTCATTTTTGATGATTTCCAATATTCCTAGATTCATATTTCTTATAACCCATGTTCTGATTACTAATGGATGTTGGAGACATTTCTCCTCATTTTGAGTTGTGCCATCAGCAAATAAAGGTCCCAAAAGGTGACCTTGGTTGTATTTAAAATACTGGTGGAGTAGTTTCTAGCATTGCAGCAACATGCAAGCCACCACAGTACGATAAACTGACAGATGAGTGGTGGAAAGAGACATGCTCATCATCAGTCAGAACTAGGCCAGGGATTTACTCTTGTGTCCAAGAGAAGTCAAAGTCTTCCCCAAACTTCAAGGATTAGGAAGGATTTGTTTGTCTCCTACAGCACCTTATGCAGACCTCTCTCAAAGCCCTAATCACATTTGTACTGAAATGAGCTTTTTTACACTGTGAGTCACTTAGCAGCCTCTCAGTGTTGCCTTATTCCTCTATTTCTCCCCAGGACCTAGCATAGTACTGACACCTGGTCTGAGAATTGGATAGAGTGAAATAGCCTGGTTCTGTCCCAGTGAAAGCAAAACAAGGCCATGAGTAAATAATCATGAGGTTTTTTTCCAGACTTCAATTATTTCCTTTAAAAAGTCTCAGCCTCTAAAATTCAGATGATGTTTTGCAAGGATTATATTTAAAGATCAGCTTCTGCTCTAGGGTTAGTGGGTCTGTTGGGATTCTCTGAACATCAAGTAACACGATGATGGCACTGAGCTAAGCAAAGACATAGACATGTTTTAAATCTTCATGTTTCTTCCTTTAAAAAATTTTAAGTAGGAAAAATAATAATTAAATATTCTTGCCTTTTCTAAAAATATAGAAAAAGACTTTAAGGTATAAAAACATTCAGACTGCAATAGAAAAATCATTCCCTAATAAAGGATGGTCTAAAAAAATTTTTTTTTATTTCTAGTTGTAGTAAATTATGCAGCAAAATATTTGCCCTTTTATTTTTATATAATTTTAATAATTTCAACATACAATCCCAATAACAAAAACTCACCTTACAAAAACTTGGAACTCTCCTATAAGTTCAACCAAAATAAGTAAGTTTGATGCCTACAGAGAAAAAAAAACAATGAAGCATTATTTTAGCTTGCAATTCTTTAGTAAAAAATCAATGCATTTGTCAAGCTTGTGAAGTGGGAACAGAAGACAGTAAAAGAACCATAGGCAAAGCTGCATGATTCGGCTTTTATTTTCAGTTTCTATTTTAAATAAAAGTTTAATACCATTTTATTGATCCCACTTCCTACTATTCATTTCTAGAAAAACAACTAGGAGTTGGGCCATGTCATGGATAAACTAATGAAATGTTCGCTTCTCCAGTGCTGTAGGAGTCTGGCTTCATACATTTCCTTGGGACCCCATCATCTCCACACCCTTTCTCTTCAGCTTTGGTACCCAGTTGGACACTCAAGGGAAGAAAGTCTGAAAAAAACTGCAGTGTTGATTGCTGAGAAGCTTAAAAGATGAATAATCTGAAGTTGAGACACAGTCCTAGACACAAACAATGATTGTCATCTTTTTCCTTAGTACTTAGCTAAGTGTTTAAAACACCTCTGAGACCTTCCTAATCATCCTTATAGGATAGCATAAGCCTAAATCGTGAGTCTAGCAGGCTACAAAATCGCATGGTAATGTGTATTAAACAACAAATACAGAAAGAAATAAAATAACAATAATTTGTTTCTGGGTGGTAAAATTATAGGTGATTTCTATTATATTTTGATATGTATCTATTTATATGTATTTTCTTAATTTAACTGACAACTGAAGAATACTCATACAACCATCAAATGCATTCAATTTATAGTCCAATATAGAAGACCTCTAAAACTGCTTTGCACATTTAACAAGCCAATAAACTCTTTTCTCTATGAGTTCCCCAAATCTCCTTTCCCTTAATGTACCCTTAAGAAGCTTCCAGAACCACAGTAACACACTAGCCACCACAATACAACAAACTGACAGGTGAGTGGCAGGTGATATACATACTTTTCTATTTATACATTCCTTACTGTAACCCCTCAAAATCGGCTAATTGCAGGCCAGTTCAGGTCATGAATTATACAGGCTGAATCTACTAGCAAGAAGAATTTCTTGAAATTTTGTTAGCTGGATAGCTGAAAAAGAAACCAGTAGCATTCGTGCCTTTGCTCATCTTATTATAAATGAACAAGCTAAAACAATCATTGTTGTTGTTGGGTGCCTTCAAGTCAGTTCCAACTTATAGCGACTCTACACAAAAAGAATGAAACATTGCCCAGTCCTAGCCCATCTTTACAATTGTTATGGTTGAGCCCATTGTTGCTGCCACTGGGCCAATCCATCCGCTTGGAGGTCTTCCTCTTTCTCATTGACCCTCTACTTTACCAAGAATAACGTCCTTCTCCAGGGACTGGTTCCTTCTGAAAACATACCCAAAAACAGAGACAAAATTTTGCCATCCTTGCTTCTAAGGAACATTCTGACTTTACTTCTTTCAACTCAAATTTGTTTCTTTTCTGGCAGTCCATGGTACTTTCAATATTCTTCTCCAACACCATGCTTCAAATGCATTGATAACTCTACATTCTTCCTTATTCTTTATCCAACTTTCTTATGCATATGAGGCTATTGAAAATATCATGGTTAGGACAGGTGAACCTTTATCTTTAAATTGACATTTGCTCTTTAACACTTTAAAGAGGTCTTGTGCAGTAGATTTAACTAATGCAAATCTACTACAAAGATTGCTGCTTCCATGAGTGTTAACTGTAGATCCAAGAAAAATGAAGTCTTTGACAGCTTTAATATTTTCTGTTTATCATGATGCTATTTATTGGTCCCATTATGAGGACTTTTGTTTTCTTTACATTGGGGTACAATCCATACTTAATTCTTTGATCTTCCTAAGGATTTGAAATCCTCTTCACCTTCAACAAGCAAGATTGTGTCATCTGCATATCACAGGTTGTTAAAGAGTCTTCCTCCCTCCAGTCTTGATGCCATGTTCATATAACCCAGCTTCTCAGATTATTTGCTTAACATACAAATTGAATAAGCATGTTGACAGGATGCAACCATGACACACACCTTTCCTGATTTTAAACCATTCAAATATCCCTTTGTTCTGCTTGAAAAACTGCCTCTTTGTCTAATACAGGTTCATCATGAGTACAATTAAGTGTTCTGGAACTCCCATTCTTCACAATGGTATCCATATTTTGTTATGATTAATATAGTCAAATGCCTTTGCATAGTCAGTGAAGCACAAGTAAACATGGTTTTGGTATTCTTTGGTTTTAGGCAAAATCCATCTGATGTCAGCAATGATATCCATCATTCCACATTCTCTTCTGAATCTAGCTTGAATTTCTGACTATTCCTTGTTGATGTATTGCTGCAAATGTTTTTTAGTTATCATCAGCAAATTTTACTTGCAGGTGAAATAAATAATATTGTTCAATGATTTCTGCATCCCATTGGATCACCTTTCTTTAACATAGGCACAAATCTAGATATCTTCCAGTTGATTAGGCAGTGTTTCATTCTGTTGTGCATAGGGTTGCTATGAGTTGATACTGACTCGATGGCACCTAACAACAACAACAACAATCGATTGGCCAAGTAGCTGTCTTCCAAATTTCTTAGCATAGATGAGTGAATATCTCTAGTATCAATTTGTTGACCACTACAATTTATATTCCATCAGTTCTGCTCTTCTTGCTTCAATACTATCAGTTCTTGATCATATGCTACCACTTAAAATGGCTGAGCATCAACCAGTTCTTTGGGGGTATAGTGACTGTATGCAGTCATTCCATCTTCTTTTCATGCTTTCTGCATAATTCAATATTTTGCCTATTGTTGTTGTTGTTAAGTGCTGTTGAGTAGATTCTGACCCATAGTGACCCTGTTTAGGGTTTCCAAGGAGCAACTGGTGAGCTTGAACCACCGACCTTGCAGTTCAAACAACTTTGCAGTCTGACACATTAGCCCAAAGCACCACACCAGGACTCCATTTTGCCCATAGAATCCTTTAATATTGCAAGTCAATGCTCGAATTTTTTCTTCAGTGTTTTCAGCTTGAAAAATGCTAAGCATGTTCTTCCCTATGGATTTTCTAACTCCAGGTCTTTGTACATTTCATTACAATGCCTGACTTGTCTTCTTAAGCTGCCCTGTGAAATTTTCTGTTCAACTCTGTTGTTTTCTCATTTCTTCAAGCTTCAGTCTCTTCTGACATCCACTTTGGTCTTTTCTTTCTTTCCTGTCTTTTTAATGATCTTTTGTTTTCTTCATGTATGATTTTCTTGATGTCATCTCACAACTCTTCTGATCTTCGATCATTGATTTCTAGTGAAATCAATCTGTTCTTGAAATGGTGGGATATATACTCCAGATCATATTTTGGTTATAAGCTTCAGTCTGAATTTGCATATAAGCAATTTGTGGTCAGTTACACAGTCTGGCTGGCCTTGTTTTGGCCAATGATATTGAGTTTATTCATTGTCTCTTTCCATCAATGTAGTCAGTTTGACTCCTATGTGCTCCATCTTGTAAAGTCATTATGTATAGTTGCCTTTTATATTATTGGTAAAAGGTATTTGTAATTAAAATGATGAATTAAAAAAACGGTATTTGCCTAGGGACTCCTGAGCCTATAGACAAGGATATAATTGGAGTGCTGGAGCTGAGAGTGAGACTGCTGGTGTGAAGTAGAGTGAGATACACAACAATGCCCAGGTTTATAGATAGTGCCCATTTGACCTGGCCTGGATGACTTAATGATCAGAACTCGACTTGTTGTTGTTGTTAAGTACCATCGAGTCGGTTCCAATTCATAGTGACCCTGGATAGGGTTTTCTAGGAGAGGCTGGTGAGCTTGAACTGCCAGACTCAACTAGAG